ATTTCGACGACTAATTGCTTTATAATCATCTCAAAAGTGAGAGGAGAAATGTGCCTAGTTTGGGAATGTATATAAGCTTAAAACTATGGAGTGTAGAAGTAAGGAGTACAGGCTGTGTATTAAAAAGTGTCCATAAAAACCGTTAAATAAGGGTGGCGCCACTATAACTACGGGGTAAATTTTAAAGAACGCACCGAAAAATGTTAGTGGGATAGACGACTTTTTCGAGGTTATATTTACTAAATAAAATTATTTTAGATTTTAGAGCTTCTGATCAGTTTAGCAGCACACTTAAACCGTCGACAACTGCTAAGTTCATTTCATCCCAGTAGCTAGTCCAGCGCTGTTGTGGAGAGTTTTTGAACTGTTATTTACTGCTCACAGCTGACCACTTTTTCAACTATTCTACTATGGGAGTTGGTGCTCCTTACTTCTGCACTCCATACTTAGAACTTTACAAAGTTTATTACCATCATTATCTTCAGATGAAATAATTTTTTTGCTTCATCTGAGTCATTATAATTATATTCCATTTTATATAACGCATCATATTCCACTGCTGAACATAAGCCTCATAGATTGCCTTATAGAAGGCTATTTGCCACAGTTGCCACGGTTGCTTAGCGGGTTGGCAACCGCAGTTTTATTATTATTTTGAATTGTTATCGGGAAGGTGCATCTCCTGTTTAAGTTTCTAACTATCGGCTTTGACCAGACCTACGCTATGTAATGGGATTGCGGATTCTCTACCGCTGCCACTGCGCGGCATACGAATGTGTATAGGCGAGTAACTTACATATTAATAGAAGTGATTAATAACCTTCTGATTTTACGGTGACATCTTCCGGTTGCCATCAGAAACCGTCAACTGCGCAAGATATGTTATAATGGCGTATATTGCAAACTCCTACGCGTCTTCAACTTCCATTACGATAAGATCTAAAGAAGCATAGGTCGCTCGGTGACGGCGTCAGATTAGAGAATCTGGACATCAATATTCATACATTCTCCAGTTATGACAAGTATTGTAATAGAGGGAACTTAAGTTTTCTATTCAAATCTAACTAGTGGGCTTGCATCAGTGTGATTCAAGACTGTGGTGGTGTTATATTTACGACTTAATTAAAAATGCAAAAATTTCTCTACTATGCTTACATAGAATAAGTATGTACGAGTATTATGCGTAAAAACATCTATATGTTGCAGGCAACTAGCTTAATCAGCCTTTCAGTTAATAGTCTAGCCTTTTAACTAAACGGCGCCGTTCAACTAGCTGCCTAAATGATATTCAGCCGTAGCGTTTATTACGACATTTAATAAACTGGCTTTTTTTTTTTTTTTTTTTTTTTTTTTTTTTTAAATAATGCTTCCTGTTCCTTCAAGCTACTCTCTGTGATATACAGTGTTCGGCACGGCTCTGAGCCTTACTGCTCGCCTCTGCTTTCACGGCACTCTCGCAGATTACTTGCCTTCTTCTCGACTCACCGCAGACTACAAGGCAATCTCCTGGCACTTGCACATTCGTCGACAACTCGACTGCACTATCGACCTCCGGTCTGAGCAGGGGGTGATGTGGCGGCGCTGTCGTCGCGCCACAAGCGAAAACACACCGAAGCCTTAATCGCGCTATCAACATTCCGAATCATAAACAGTATATATAGAACTTCTCCGAACTATCACACGGAGTGTTGGCCGCTCCCCGGGCAGAACACCTTGCCCGGCGGGAGATCTCCCCTTTTCCTTCTACGGCCACAGTTGTAATGTTGTATTAGATGCAGCGGCTGAATATCATTCAGGCCCCTAGTTAAACATAAAAAGGCTAAGCTGTTAATTGAACGGCTAATTAAGCTCGTTGGCTGCGACAGCTTGTACTATTTTTCATTAAACTTTGGAAAACACCATCAAATTTGTTGTTTGCCGACGCCATATTGACAGTTTGGAGATTTCAGCGCTAGGTGACAGAAAGTGGAACTAAATTGATATGAACAGGCTAGACAATTAATGAAACGTCATGAGAGTGAGGGAATAGAGAGTGCACCTGCGCTTGCGCATACACTCGGGCTTTATAATATCCTATCCACCGTGACCGACATTCGATATATATATATATATATATATATATATATATATATATATATATATATATATTATATATATATTTATTTATTAGGATTACAACAGAAATTACAATAGTAATACAAAGATCGTTTTCATAACATATTAAGCACATTATAATTGTATTTCTTTTTATAGGTAATCACAACATGCATTGATTATTTAGTAAATGATAGGATTATAAGGAAAAAAAACTTGGACCACATCATTGAATAAATAAGTTATTAAAAAGAAATAGAATTATTTAACAATATTATATATAACTTAATTATCATATTAAATTACATTAACCACATTATAGAAAACAAAAACAATTTCGATATTATACTTCCAATATTATACTTCTTAATTAATTGATTCATTATTTTTAAAGACATTTATTAATTTTGATTTGAAGGTGGATAAACTGTCGCAAGTAAAGGCCAGAAATCTTTGAGGACAGTTCGTTATTAGTGCGAGCCAGTCTGGCTAGAGGAGAATATATATTTTAAGCTATATATATATATATATATATATATATTTAGCTCGAGTTGCTTTCGTCACGGTAATTTTACTACGAAATTTTAAGGTCACCACACACACGCCTCGAAAAAATTATTAATTGGAATTGCCGGCCGGCACGGCATCATTGACATTCTTAATTGGAATTTTGAGTAATTATTTTACCACTTGCAGTGAAAGTGAACAGAGTAGGGAAACTGGCATGCCTGTATTACTGCGCACTCTCCCGTGCCACAAAAGCCTCTTGAGAGAATAACTGTAATTTATGACTAAAGTTTTTATAGTGGGAACAATACAAACTTCAAAACTATGTAGATATATAAATAATTTGGTGTATAAAGTGTATCAAATACACTTGATGATATGGGAGTTAATACAACTAATGTTCCTCGGTTCGATTTCGACACATAATCCGAAAACAATTAGAGGTTAACCACAGCGCAAGACATAGAGTCGCTAAGGTAAGTACCATTGATCTTAGCGACTTTATGTCTTCAATTTAAATTATTTGATGGAAATATTGGGCCGAGTAATTTGCACTCAATATGAAACGTAAACGGTAAATAGTTGCAAACTTAATGCTCCATAATGATTACAAACTTATTTTGTTCTAATGGATCGGTTAGGATTTGAAATTACTTGAGTGTAATGATTGGTACACACATAGATGGTAAATATGCTATTTACGCAGCCCGTGGAATTCTTAACAATGTTCAAAAGAGAAGGGTACAGATATATTGTTACCTCTGAGGATTGGCTGTAGCGTATGCTCATGTATATATCTAAAATTCAAGCAATCAAGTTCAAAAAAAAAAAAATTAAATTTCAATCAAGTTCAAACAATATAAAATAGGTTAAAATTTCTAAGTAGTTAAGTAGTTACTAACGTACCGTTCAATAAAATGTAACAAAAGTTTTTTATATAACATTAGCGATTCGTACTGGCTTACGGATGTTGGATTACTGGACGTGTATTTATTCAACGAACCTCCCAACTTTTATAGTAGATACAATTGCATTGGCATCTACTCGTAATATGGAATACCTCACAGCCTATACTTATACCAGCTGCCTATACTCTTCAGACTGGAACATAGCAGTACACGCACTGCTGCTTGGTGGCAGTAATAGGGAAGAAGATGGACTTACCCAGAGCGACTTCTAGGCAAGGAGTTCTAACACATTGTAAATTTCAATAGCTTTGTTATCAATAGACGTTTAATACGGCAATAATGTGGAGTAAGTTTTCCTTTTTTTTCTTTTTTTATTATTCCCTCACACTAGGATTTACTCCTTTTTAATAGAATAAGAGTGACAAACGAGTACATAGTCCCCCTAATGGTAAGTGGAATCGGTGGCTCATAGACATCTATATGTATCCTCGTGTATGAATCAAAATGCAGATGCGTTGTCACCCCTGAGGACTTACTGATATGCCTCGTTTTCAGTAAAAAAGAGTCTACGGATCTGGAGACTCACATAACAGTATTAAGCTGCTATTTTACGCTGGTATTCTGAGAGAGCATGGTCATCTCACCGGTCGAGCCGACCCATTCGTACTACAACCATAATATTATAGCCGCAGCGTGGCTCTACGACTCACGTACGTACGTCCTGTATCGTGAAGGCAATTTAAAACAAATTTCACAAAGACAAACGTAGGTGTAGATCATACAAATACTTGTTCTGTGCGGGATTCGAATCCGCGGCCCTCATCATTGCAACTTATTGCTAAGCCACTGCGGCACAGGGCCGTCTTCATTTGAGTTAGTTTTACTGGTACTAATTATTATCTACTATAAAATTATACTAATTATATCACCATCGACTGGCGCGTTGGTCTATTGGTTGTAAACGCGGCTGGTGATCATAAAATCCTGGGTTCGAATCCCGGCTCAGGCCAATAAAATCCGTTATTGAGTTTTTCCGTCAAGATGTTCTCAGTAGCTGTCCGGAGTCAGGAAGTTGGCGGTGTCTCCCCCCAAGCCTCGTAAAGCGCGTAAAGCCGTTGGTTCTACGCTTGATCTCTTTCCAGTCATGTCGGTTTACCATCCCATCGGACTATGGGAGTGAGGAAATAGAGATTGCACCTGTGCTTGCGCATACAGTTAAGCACTATAATCCTGTCCTGCACTGATGGATAGTTTCCGTTGAGGTTAACCGCCGTGACTGAAATTCGGTCTGAAGTACATAATTATTATATCATACTGACATTCTCAAGTAAGTTCATTAAATTTTAAAATTACTAAAATCGAAGACTTCGCTTCCTTCTAACGAGCGCAGTTCGACACGTCGTAAACCGCCGCGTTAATTTCGATATAGTTCATAATTTTACGGCTTTTTAACGATCCCTGACTTTCGACAAGCTCATGTGCGCCTGGTAATTAGAATTCTGTAACAGAGCGGTCCCTCAGGATCCAGGAAGTGATTCGTAAATATACAGAACACGTGTCCTGTCGGGAAATAAATTAAAATTAGTCTGGTTTATTGTATAATTTTATGAGAGTTTTATGTGCGAACGACATTTTGTTTTTCCCGAAATTTAAGACGATTTCAATCATGTGGACACTTTTATTATCCTGCGGAAAGTTTCGTATGGGTTTCTTTTTTGTTGGGGATATTTAACTCGTAGTCAGAGGCCGGGGTCCGCACTCCCTGACTCGTACAGCGGTCAGATAGCTCAAAAACCACCACAGAGGCGACACGATGATTGGTAACAATAACTACTCATAAACCACCATCATCATCATCCTCACCACCATTGCCTTTCCCTTTTTAAGCAACTGAGTCCCTGAGTCAATAAAGCTGTAACAGCCGCATAGGGTAAAACCTTAAACATCACAGAAAATAGTAATACAATGCCCTCGACAATAAAAGGCAGTTATTTTGATATTAAATACAGAAACTTCCATTTTATTTATTTGTATAGATAGTATATAACAAACAATTTTTTTCCTTTATGAGCTTTACCTTGATCGAACTGATGCTGTAGATTGTGATTGAATAATTCTTATGTTTACGCGGTATAGCCACGCCGCAGCTATTTTATGATTGAAGCACGAATGGGTCGGCTCGACCGGAGAAAGACCACGCTCTCACAGAATACCAGCGTAAAAAGCTTAATGCTGTTGTGTTTACTATAGTGAGTGTATAGAACCGGAGACTTTTTATTGGAAACGAGGCATTCCATCGTATTCCTCAGGGGTGACAGCGCATCTGCATTTTGCTTCTCAATCGAAGATCAAGGTAGATGGTGTTTATGGGCCACAGTATCCACTTACCATCAGGTGAACTGTGTGCTCGTTTGTCACATCCATTCTATAAAAAAAATTTCAACCTAGATTACTAGTGATATGTACATTTTTTCGTTATTAATGAAACTCAATTATGTTTTTGCTACTGGTTCGGAAAAATGGCGGTTTGAAAATGAAGGCTATACAGTCTGACCTTAATTTCATCACAGCTCAAACATATTGATGGTTTGGAATGATTAACTTTAAGGGGCGTTATTACCAGTGTCCTATAGTTAAGCAAGGCATCGTTATGAGCCTAAATTCATCATTAAATATATTATGGACGCCTCAACGGGGACTCTAACACTAAATGTATAGACAATAACAATATAAATTATGTATAGAGCTTGCAAGAGCTTTCGTCGCGTCCGTCACCATTTCCTGCCTCCGGTTAAGGAAGTAAATACCGGGACGTGCATTTGAATAGGGCTGGTACCAAAAAAATAAATGGAAAAAATAAATGATTTATAATCTTTTTATATTTTGAACGGTATTTATATCAACAATAATATTCATCAATGGTCTATGATCATATCTGTTTCAATATAAAAAAAAACCAAGTACGGTTCCCACGTATTCACGCCACGTCGTGACATGCTTAAGATATGGGTCTTCCCATAAGCTTATTACCTATAATATTTTCTTAAATTTAAATATTAATTTGTTATTTATAAAAACTATTAAGTGAGAGACTGTGTTTCAAATTTTTTAAATGATTCATTCCTTATTCTCTATAGATTACTTTATAAGAGAGGTATTTTTCATAGTTCCCACGCTTGGCAAGTGAGTTGGAAACCGCAGTTTATTATTTTCGAGTTTGTTTTAGCCAAATATTTAGGCCACATCTATATTTTGCTAATAAAAATTATACGTGGTGGAACCGCGATGCAGCTTTATTATGGTTGAAGCACGAATGGGTGAGCTCGGCCGGTTCATTCTTAAATAATACCAGCGTCAAATATAGCTACTGTATTTTGCATGGGTGTAGAGAACCGGAGACACTTTTTACTGTTAACAAAACATTTCATCTTAGTCTTCTATATTTTGATTCTTAATCGTACCATGTGCTCGTTTAATACTCTTATTATATATTAAAAAAAATACGTGTGGCACTCGGTGACTGCCGCGGTAAAGCTATTGCATAGCATTTTTTATCAACTTATGCAATTATAATTATTTATTTATTTTATTTATGCAGTTAAGTCTTTGATATTAAATCAAGTTACACTTTTTGAGCGTGGTGACCGATAAGAAAACAATTTTTTTCTCTTATTGAATAAATGAGAAGTTAATATTGTTTAAAATATTTTTAATATCTTACAATACATGTAGGTTATTCAGGAATTTTTATCATTGAGTTAGCAGCTAGTGTACACGCATACGTCTAGTCGCATGCACACAAACACCGTGCCGAAGTCTGCCGAGTGCCGAAGTCTGCCGAACTGAAACGACGTTAGACGATGCACGGCTTTCAACACCACACCTCCTTGCCCGTCGGAGTGGGGAGCGTGAGGTTTTTTTCGTTACGGAATTTCTGGATTCGGTCCCCGCGCTCAAGGCCCGCGATAGAAGCTATGCAATAGCTTAAAAACACATTATTGCTATTTTTAGGAATAATTTGTTGCTGCAGACGACTTCAAATACTAAAAAAACTAACTCTTATTGCTCATGAAAATTATATTTTTTACTTATTGTGACAACCCTTAGAACACCGTGTCTGTCGCTTAATAATAATGCCATAGTCGCCATATTGCCATTACCTTTTTGGTCAATGGACGAAATACTTCTCACATACTAATATTATTCAGCAAAACTCAATGATTATATTTAGATATGATATGTATATCCTATACTTTAAGCTTCCATCAACAATACAAAACTTTAAGTGAGCAATTCTTGTATATACACGAGTATACTAGTACTAACCATAAAGGTTACAAAGGGTGGAGTTAATGCCAGTTACCATCGGTTACCAGTGGTAAATTAAATTAAAAAAGTGACTCAATAAATATTTTTATAATCTACATTGAATAAAAAAGTTTCTATTTCTATTTCTATTTCATTCTCTGCCAGACAACCCATGCTGTGGTTGAAAATTAGTGGCAGGTGACTTGTATTATATAACTATATATAATACATATAAATAGATATAACACATGTTAAAATAAAGCTTGCTAATTACACAATTACATATGGATACAAAGATAATATACGTAATGTAATGTAACGTGATTGAGTATGTTTATATATGTAATTGGTTTCTCGGAAACGGCTATAACAATTTGCACGGAATTTTAAGAAATAGGTAACATCTACGTATCCAGACGAATTTCTAGGCAAAAGAGAATCTCTACGACCTGGAAGAATGTCAGTATATAATTAGTTAGAGTTAGAGTTTTCTACGATTCTTACTAGAAACTTTACCATGGTTTTTTAATAATGATTTCTTATATTTACGCGATGCTACACATTGAATAAAATTAATTTGATGGATTTTATCGCGTTTAATTTTAACCTATTCTCGGCGTATCGGGCACTTTACCCTCCTGAGAGGAGGCTTGTGCCCAGCAGGCGGCGTGTACTGTAACGTTTAACTTTTGTATACCAATACTAAGTGCTACGTACTGTGGATTGCTTTGGATCATTTGTACCTTTTTTATGCTGATGATATGTCCTGCGTGTAGAACAGTCCTGCAGCTGTATTTAGCTGCAGCACGAATTTAACTGTTTGATCGAGGAAGAGCCACGCTATCACAGAACATCAACTTAAAATATCTTAATGTTTCTTAATAATCTTAACACACGCACACGCACACGCATACGCACACACACACGCATACGCACACACACACACACACACACACACACACACACACACACACACACACACACACACACATACACACACACACACACACACACACACACACACACACACACACACACAAAATCGGTAGTACTAAACATTTTTTTTGTATTTGTTCACTTTTATAAGGGGGGTTAGAGACTGAATCTCCTTAATACAGGCCATGTTATAGTCTAGCAAGGAGAACAGAACGGCACCCTCACTAGTGTTTTTACCTAATTTTATTGCTATGTAATGTAAGATTTTTTTCTGTGTGTACTACAGTTTAAAGTTTAATAAATTGTTTTTGGGGTATCTATATAATTTTCAAATCTGGTTGGGTTCTATGGGTTCTATAAATATATAATTTTAACTTAAAATGAAAAGATAAATATACATAAATATCAATAAAATAAAATAAAAACAAACTAAACAAAATACATAAATAAATAAGATCCAACCAGATGGAAGCCCTCGCCAGGGGAGACCAAACGGCCGAGAGTTAGGAGGAAAGGGAAAGAAACCGGCGGACGATGCGGGCGGTATCGAGGAGCACTGCCTTCTGCGTTTGAGCTCGGAGCGGTCCGTCAAGGAGTCCCAGTCGCCTCAGATGACCCGAGAGACTGACTGGGATTAGCCCATCCGTAGAGACGAATACAGGAATAATTTCGGTCGGCCGACCACCCCACATGTCGGTTACCTCGTGAGCCAGGTCCAGATATTTTGTTCGTTTATCTGTTTCGGCTTTCACGAGGTTCTCGTCATATGGAATGGTAATGTCTATCAAAAATATCCATGACTGTGCCCGGTCCATCAGCACAATATCAGGATTTTTCGCAAGAATAGTCCTGTCTATGATGATGGCCCGGTCCCAGTAGAGCCTGGCGCGGTAATTTTCGAGCACGGCTTCCGGCAAGTACATGTAATACGGCAATTTCCGGTCCACGAGACCATATTTCAGAGCGAGCTCCTGGTGTAGAATTCTGGCTACTAGGTTGTGCCTGTGCAAGTACTCAGAGTTAGAAAAGCGCCGAACAACCGGAGATGACATGCCTAAGTGACTCACCGGGATAGCGACAAGCTCGACAGACGTCGACGGTGCCATCCTTTAGGATGTATCTCCGATAGTTGTTGGTCTTAATAACCTGATCCTGTATTGCACAGACAAAACCCTCGGTTTCCCCAAAAAGGTCACCGAAACGTAGCCAGTTGAGGGAGGCGACTGTATTTATGAAGGGCTCATGTAGAGCCCTGTAGTACCTCCCGTGGAGCTCCTTCTCCTTCCATACGGTCTCCCGGTCGGAAATGCTTTCTACTGCCTGGTCCTGCCATTGCTCGTTGGCTAAGGATAGAGGAACGAACTTTTCTATCCAGGGCGTTAAGTTCAGTCTGAGTCCACCTGAGTATGCCAAAGATATACATGAGGATAGGCATGACCCAGCCGTTATATGCGTGTGCCTTATTCACACCGGACAAAAGGCTGTTAAGCATTTTGGTCAAGCGTGCATAAAACATGTCGTAAACTGACTGTGATTGTGTGACTCATCGATACCGATGTTCTGTGACATACCCAGGTATCGGTATGTTTCAGCCTCGGAAAGGGTTCTTAAGTTGACGGGCATAGATAAGTCTATGCCCTCAGAGTTAGCAACCCTTCCCCTTTCAACATGGAGGACCGCACACTTATCCGTCCCCAGCTCCATTCCAATAGAATTGCTAAATTCACAAGTGATGTTTAGCAATTCCATAAGATGGGAGCGACTAGAGGCGAATAATTTGAGGTCATCCATATAGAAAAGGTGGGTCACTTTTGTACCTCCTTTCCGAAGCTGAAATCCCCTCCCGGAGACCTCCAGTAAAGTACTGAGAAAGTTCAAAGAGAGGCAGAACCAGATTGCACTCGGACAGTCGCCCTGGAATATACCCCTTCTTATCCTTATGCGGCTTTCCGCAGCCGGCATCCGCTCGCCTAGATGACAGAGGATCGTACTCCACTGCCCCATACACTGCCCGAGGAAGTCTCGAACTGTACAGTCAATCTTGTACAGCTCGAGGACGCTCTTTAGCCATGTATTACCCCATACATGGCGACGACGGACGAACGACGGACACGGATACGAGTCAAATGCCTTTCTGTAGGTTATCTAGGCGGCGGCGAAGTTCCGAAGGTTGCGTTTCACCACTTTGCCAATGACCGCTTCAATGAAGAGTGGTTCCTTGGTTCCACGACCGCCGCCCCGACATCCATTTTGAGCGCGCGACATCACCTGATTTGAGTCCAGGTGACGAGTGATTCTAGCGCTCAAAATGGATGTTAGTGTCTTGTATATGGTCGGTAGACACGTGATGGGGCGGTATTTGCTCGGGTCTGTGGTACCCTGGTCTTTAGGAACCAAATGAGTGATCCCAGTAGTGAAGAGACACACCATGAACCCCTTCAGCCTGTAGTGATGCAGCCCGTCAAGCCCCGGACTTTTCCAGTTCGGGGCCCTACGGACCGCCTCAGCTACGTCATCCGGCGTTATGATGACGGGGTCCATGGGCGTTACACCAACACACTGAATCGCCACAACTTCCGTCCAAGGGCCCTCACTGTGGTTTACGGGCTCTGACCACAGGCTGCGCCAGAATGGGACCTTGTCGGCCTGATTCGGTGCTGGGCCCGTTCCACTTATCATTGGTCGCTCGAATGATTTATAAAGCCTCTTCTGATCACTCTGGAAGAGACGATTTTGGTTGAACCGTGTCGACCTCTCGGTATATCGCCGAATCTGCTTTCCCCAAGCAGCGATTCTCTGCTTCAGGTCGTCTATGCGCTCCGTCAGTTTTTGCATTATATCCGGCTGGGAAAAATTTGTGCCAGCAAACGCCATCCTGACGGTGCGCACAATCCTTGGCCTGGTATTGCCGGACCTGAAGCATATCAGTCTGCCGATGAGGGCCCTAGCCTTTGCGATACGTTCTTCAATTCTTATTCTCCAGGCTGGGATAGCACTATTTTGTCCAGTAGCGCGTCCAGCCGTGGAGAGTTTGGCGCCTATAATACGGCAGACTGCCAGTGCGGCGCCAAAAAGAATTGAGTCCGTCTGGCAAAGGTCCCGACTGGCTTCCAAATAGGTTACCAGCATTGGGTTCAGAGTCCTCACGACAGCCCGATTCCGCTTGCTTAGGGCTATGCGGGGAAGTCGCGGTCGATTTTCGAGAGGCGTACTGCGCGTTTCCACAATCGCCTCTTCCAATGTACTCCTCATTTGCTCTAGTTCCAGTTCCTGGGCGATTGTTCCATCATCGTTTGAATCAACCACAACTGCGGCATCCACGTTTACTGTTTGCTCTGCAAGTTGTGGCGCCGCATCCTCAGCCGTAGCATTTTCACTCCATGAAGGAACAGTCTCGCGTCGTAGCCGTTCGAGTTCGGTAACAGCAAATATATTTGAGCGCAAGATATACCGAACTCGGCCTGCCAGGTTTTGCTCGGTGACGGTTATAGATGGCTCCAGCTCAGCAAAAAGACGATGCATCCTAGCGCGATATGCCAAACCTCCAACTTCTCCCCCTTTCGCCCTAAAATACGCCCGCAGTGCGTTGGTATTCATTTTGATTGTTCATCGCATGCGGCGTACTCTACCAGTGGCAGGTGCCGATTACTGGGCCCGCGAAGATCCTCCCGACACCAAGCCAGCTGGTGGGGATGATGGATGCGAGGGGCTGATGGGTGGTCGTGCAGCACCTCTCGCTCGGCTGGCGGTTCGCATGCTGTTGCGTCCAGCGCCAGCTCCAGACGCGCCCTGGCGACCTCCAGGCAGCGGCCCTTTGCGCGTTCTTCCGTATTCCATCATCCATATATAAGTGGGCGCCATTTAACGGGAGACGCCCAGACCCGGCGCCGTTTCATGGTGGGGCCATGTGCACAAGCGGGCCTTTGCGCCTTCATTTTTTTCCGAGGCACGGCACTTACACCTCTTGGCAAGGTGTTGACTGACTGCGCTGACGTAGCGGTTTTGTCACATAACTGTTACGTCAGCGGGCGATGGGGTCGTCACTTCCCTACGCCTTTAATAATAAATTGTTATTATTATTATTATTTTATGACCTAAGCTATACAAAATAGATCCACGAGATCGTATGACCCTATACGGGTAAAAGAGGTCAAGTCTGGCATTTCTGGACTTCGAGATAATATATGAATAATGAGCGTCAAGTCTAGTCCAACACAATCGCTCCTCTTACTTCTTGACCAACATTTAATTACGGCCCGTAAATACCAGCTCGACGTGGGTTTTGCAATAAACTGACAAGATTTATGCGTCTTTTGTTTTAATACTTGTGTCATTATCTATCGTGAAAGCCATGTGAAGAACGTAAATGATGGATTATGTATCCACCTTAACGGACATGTTTTAGTTGCGATGTGTAAAATGAATAATTATCCTATTTTATCCTTATCCTTATTTTGAACATTGTAGCTATGCACTAAGATTGTAAACAGATTTTCATTTTCATTTATAAAATTGTTTAAAATATTTTGATGTTTTGATATGTTTGGTATAGTCCTACTTTTCTCTTATATGTTTATATATTCACTAGTTTAATTTATGCATGTTGTACATTTTAATTAGGCTCTATTTTTGATGCTCGTATTTGTGATATGTCCTTTAAAGTACGAAAGATTATGTTATTCTACTTCTATTATTGAGAACCTGTTATTGGCTTCTTGTAAATCGATTTGTTGCATCCTTAAGATTTGAAAGCTGCTGGTTTTCCATAAGACAAAAAATAAAATAAAATAAAATAATTGTAAGTAGAAATAAAATACTTTTAATTAGAAATAAATCTTACTTAAAATAACTATAACTATGTCTTAGCAAGGTGTATAGAAGAATTAAAGCCCCGATTTAAAAATGTGAAATTATTTTATTAATAAAAGAACTGGCCTTTTTTACAGTTTAATTTTTTTGCACTTAATTTAAAAAATATTGATAGATAATGATACTTCTTTTATAACACTATGTCTTAGTAAAGTGTATAGAAGAATTAAAGCACTGATTTGAAAATGTGACATTATTTTATTAAAAGAACTGGCCTTATTTTAATGTTTAATTTTTTGCCACTTAATTTTTAAAAAATTTGATAGATAATGATACTCCTTTTACAACACTTTGTCTTAGTAAAGTGTATAGAAGAATTAAAGCACTGATTTGAAAATGTGAAATTATTTTATTATTAAAAGAACTGGCCTTATTTTAAAATTTAATATTTTTGCACATAATTTTAAAAAAATTGGATAAATAATGATAATTTTTCTATAATATTATGTCTTAGGATAATGTATAGAAGAATTAAAGCCACGACTTAAGAATGTGAATTTATTTTATTATTTCTTTGTAATCAGCTTTGACTTTTTACTAAAATTTTATATTTATGAACCTCTTGAGTCGACTAAGGAATATCATAAGCTTGAGGAAACGGGTCTAGAATGTCGTTGAAATAGTTAAATTGTTAATATTTTGCCATCCTTAGGGTTGGCATTTGTACAATCCAAATTTATAAAGGACCGAAAAAAACGTTAAAATCGGTATAGGTGACACATCATTACACTGTACACACTATAAAATTAAGAAGAAGCAATGTAACAATAATTAATAAAGAAATATGTCGCAAAAAAAAAACATAAATCGGGATGTCAATTTCCTCTTATGTACCTTATCTTTATTTCAGACTCTTTAGATGCATACTTTCAAATCGGATGCTTCTCGTGCATGGAAATAATAAATCAAACTGTAACAAAAAGGTGAGGTGATATTGATCTCTAGAAGGCGCTTAGAGCGTAATGATGTTTAAGCACGACACTTTAGATTAAGTTGTTAGGTAGGTATATTGCTGGCGGGGTAGCGGGGCGTTAAGTTAATAACTTCACGGGTACCGTGTTAAACTGTCGTTACCGACAATCAATCACATGTACGTGATTGTCTTTTACAAATTATGCGTATTGCGTACAGGAATACACCTGTTGACGGAGTATAATACATAGGTACATGCAAAAACTCTCACGTATTTTATTCAGAAGGGTAGGCAGAGATTACAGACTTTCATTTGGTTTAGGGCAGTGCAGCCTGATCGGTAAAGGATTTACCAACAAAATTAGTAAAATGTAGTGGGATACTTAGTTTATCATACGAGGAACGCAGAGTTCTATCATGCGTTGGGGAAATATACTGAAATTTGTTCTACAATTTGTTGACACATTGATGAGGAGTGGAAGAATCATTTAAGATAGAGAAGAGAATGAGTAAAATTCTAGAGTCATGTCTCTGTTTAACAATGAGCCATTTAAGGCGAGAGCGATAGTGAGAGATATGATCATATTTACGAAGACTGAAAATGATTATTTTAATTTAAAAAAACCTAAATGACACCCAGGCCCATATTTCTTTTTTTATTACATTCCATCTAATGATAATTGGTGACTGCAACCCATGGACAGGTGTCCATCCAGGAGTCTAACTGAAACAAAGAAGTCTACAGATGCATCGACACCTCTGATATTTGTGATGCGTCACAGCCTGAGATTACACAGGCTGTCTATACCCTTAACTACCGAGCGACATAAGGAACTAAAGAGATGGAGCCTACCCAGATGGACACCCAGACAGGAATGGGGTCCTGCCACCCTACAACAAACAATTATCTATTTATTTTTTACCTACATATTTATCCATAAATTATTGATAATAAAAACAATGTATAATTACTTGATCTCTATAAAAGTTGGCAAAATAGAAATACTGAGAGTATGTTGCTACTTACCAGCAGCTAGTATATAATGGGACCATAAATCTTACGCCAGAAGAAATCTTGGCTTATAATTAAAATGCCTCCATAATAAGACACTAATTTCACACTTCATTTAACGCAGTCACCGTTTTAATTCGCCTCATCACTACGTTAATCTTTCATGTAACATGTATATATATATACACACATATATATATATATATATATATATATGTGTGTGTGTGTGTGTGTGTCGTGTACGCGTGTGCGCGTGTGTCTTCGGTTTTTGATAAATATATGATTCATGGCTGGAAGTTCTTAAGTTTTCGAGTGTTGTTTTCGTAAATTAAATGCATTTAATGTTATGTAACATAAAATATATTATTAAAGTGAACAATCTTGATTATTACATTAATAATATCCACACAAAACAATTATAGTATATCTTATAGATTACTAATAAGCATACTTAGAAGATTCATAGTAGTATTGTTTCTAATTTTTATATATATGCATAGTTTAAAATTTACTTATACCTCTTTTTAAATTCTTAAATCATTTGTTATGCTAGATACTGATTACGAGGAGGTACATAATCTCATTATGTCATTAAAAACAATTGTTATTATTATTATTGTTATTATTATTATTATTATTTTTAATTGACAAAAGCAAATGTCAAGCTTACGTGTAGCATCGCAAAGGAGAGGTTGCGTAGTCCGGCTATTTAGAATTGTAAAATTTTGAATGCAGATATTTTTTTTGTATATTGCATTAAGTAATGCATTAAATACTTAAATAGTTGATTAAATGAATTTATTCCAAGGTTATTAGATTATGATTACTCAAAGATACGGTAAGGTAGTCGACGGTGAAATATCATCGAACTTTTTTTCTAGTTACATATTTATATATAATACATAGTTGCAATTCTATTAAATTTATGCCAAAGTTTCTAAAACTTTTATTAAATGATGTAACATAGTTTTACGATAATATATTTGGACATAACGTATTCCAAAAATATGTCTAGAAATAGTAACGAATTAAAAGAGAACGAAGTATAGCGATTCAAGCTAATGTGTTGTAATATTTTATAAGAACTTAAATATTTTTTTAAGTGAAGCACTTTCTTTGCATATCTATCTATCCTGAGCAAGATAAGAAAGGTGAATTTATGTACACCCAGTTATAGATACAAATTCCTCTCCCACACTCATCTTCGTCGACACATGGCCTCTGCACTGTCGCGTCCAAACTGCACAGTCGCATTTCAAATGGTGCATCATCTCTCAATGTCACATCGTATTATGTTTGAGCGAAACCGTGTACACATCGTGTCACTTCTATAGTTATTGACGCTTTGTTTTGTAATTACATAATAACACTAGCTGACACCCGCTCGCTTCGCTGGGCGCACGGTTATAGACGATAATAAGGTAGATATAAAATTTCAAGAATTTTTTTAAATATAGGACTATCGTAAAGTCCGTTCTTTGTGAGCGTCTTCATTGCGAAATGAGTAACTATACTAAATTTCAAGTCAATTGGGTGTATAGGTTTAGACATATCGTGATGAGTCAGTCAGTCAGTACTATTTAGTTTATATGCATAAAGATTAATGATTTATATTTATAGAGTAAGGGTGACAAACGAGGACACTGTCCACCTGTTGGGAATTTGACATTGTGTGCCTTTTCTATCCTTGATTAGGAATCCCAATTCATATTCGTTGTCACCCCCTGGGGAATAAGATGGAATGTTTCGTTCTCGACAATCACCATAAGGAAACATTACAGCAGCATTAAGTTCCTACTTTACG